GCAACTTATAAATTCCACCTTTTCCAAGAAAGCCATGTCAATTCACAGATACTAAAAAAGGAATCTTTGAGAAAGCAACTATAACCATTCGGCAACCTTTTCAAAGAAAGCCATGTCAATTCACAGATACTAAAAAGGAATCTTTGAGAAAGCAACTTATAACCATTCGGCAACCTTTTCCCAAGAAAGCCATGTCAATTCACAGATACTAAAAAAGGAATCTTTGAGAAAGCAACTTATAACCATTCGGCAACCTTTCCCAAGAAAGCCATGTCAATTCACAGATACTAAAAAGGAATCTTTGAGAAAGCAACTGGTAACCATTCAATATCTATCACAAGAAAGCCATGTCAATTCACAGATATAAAAAAAAGGAATCTTTGGAGAAAGCAACTTTATAACCATTCGGCAACCTTTCCCAAGAAAGCCATGTCAATTCACAGATACTAAAAAAAAGGAATCTTTGGAGAAAGCAACTTATAACCATAAAAAAGGAATCGGCAACCTTTCCCAAGAAAGCCATGTCAATTCACAGATACTAAAAAAGGAATCTTTTGAGAAAGTAACTTATAACCATTCGGCAACCTTTTTCCAGATACTAAAAAGAAAGCAATTTATAACCATGCCTTTCCCAATTCACAGATACTAAAAAAGGAATCTTTGGAGAAAGCAACTTATAACCATTCGGCAACCTTTCCCAAGAAAGCCATGTCAATTCACAGATACTAAAAAGGAATCTTTGAGAAAGCAACTTATAACCATTCGGCAACCTTTCCCAAAGAAAGCCATGTCAATTCACAGATACTAAAAAAGGAATCTTTGAGAAAGCAACTTATAACCATTCGGCAACCTTTCCCAAAAGCCAAATTCCATGAATCTTTTCAATTCACAGATACTAAAAAGGAATCTTTGGAGAAAGCAACTTATAACCATTCGGCAATCTTTCCCAAGAAAGCCATGTCAATTCCAGATACTAAAAGAATCTTTGAGAAAAACTATAAACCATTCGGCTATCTTTGGTCAATTCACAGATACTAAAAAGAATCTTTGGAGAAAGCAACTTATAACCATTCGGCAACCTTTCCCAAGAAAGCCATGTCAATTCACAGATACTAAAAAGGAATCTTTTGGAGAAAGCAACTTATAACCATTCGGCAACCTTTCCCAAGAAAGCCATGTCAATTCACAGATACTAAAAAGGAATCTTTGAGAAAGCAACTTATAACCATTCGGCAACCTTTCCCAAGAAAGCCATGTCAATTCACAGATACTAAAAAGGAATCTTTTGGAGAAAGCAACTTATAACCATTCGGCAACCTTTCCAAAGAAAGCCATGTCAATTCACAGATACTAAAAAGGAATCTTTGGAGAAAGCAACTGGTAACCATTCGGCAACCTTTCCCAAGAAAGCCATGTCAATTCACAGATACTAAAAAAGGAATCTTTTTGGAGAAAGCAACTTATAACCATTCGGCAACCTTTTCCCAAGAAAGCCATGTCAATTCACAGATACTAAAAAAAGGAATCTTTGGAAAGTTCAACTTATAAAAGCAACCTTTCCCAAGCAACCTTTCCCAAAACCAATTCACAGATACTAAAAAGGAATCTTTGGAAAGTAACTTATAACCATTCGGCAACCTTTTCCAAAGAAAGCCATGTCAATTCACAGATACTAAAAAGGAATCTTTGGAGAAAGCAACTTATAACCATTCAACCTTTCCCAAGAAAGCCATGTCAATTCAACAGATACTAAAAAAAGGAATCTTTGGAGAAAGCAACTTATAACCATTCGGCGGCCTTTCCCACAGATACTAAAAGCCATAACCATTCAATTCACAGATACTAAAAAGGAATCTTTGAGAAAGCAACTTATAACCATTCGGCAACCTTTCCCAAGAAAGCCATGTCAATTCACAGATACTAAAAAGGAATCTTTGGGAAAGCAACTTATAACCATTCGGCAATCTATCCCAAGAAAGCCATGTCAATTCACAGATACTAAAAAAGGAATCTTTGGAGAAAGCAACTTATAACCATTCTGGCAACCTTTTCCCAAGAAAGCCATGTCAATTCACAGCCTAAAAAAGGAATCTTGAGAAAGCAACTTATAACCATTCGGCAACCTTTCCCAAGAAAATGTCAATTCCACAGATACTAAAAAAGGAATCTTTGGAGAAAGCAACTTATAACCATTCGGCAACCTTTCCCAAAGAAAGCCATGTCAATTCACAGATACTAAAAAAGGAATCTTTGGAGAAAGCAACTTATAACCATTCGGCAACCTTTCCCAAGAAAGCCATGTCAATTCACAGATACTAAAAAAAGGAATCTTTGGAGAAAGCAACATAACCATTCGGCAACCTTTCCCAAGAAAGCCATGTCAATTCACAGATACTAAAAAAAGGAATCTTTGGAAAGCAACTTATAACCATTCGGCAACCTTTCCAAAGAAAGCCATGTCAATTTCACAGATACTAAAAAAGGAATCTTTGGAGAAAGCAACTTATAACCATTCGGCAACCTTTCCCAAGAAAGCCATGTCAATTCACAGATACTAAAAAGGAATCTTTGGAGAAAGCAACTTATAACCATTCGGCAACCTTTCCCAAGAAAGCCATGTCAATTCACAGATACTAAAAAGGAATCTTTGGAGAAAGCAACTTATAACCATTCGGCAACCTTTCCTAAGAAAGCCATGTCAATTCACAGATACTAAAAAAAGGAATCTTTGAGAAAGCAACTTATAACCATTCGGCAACCTTTCCCAAAAAGCCATGTCAATTCACAGATACTAAAAAGGAATCTTTGGAGAAAGCAACTTATAACCATTCGGCAACCTTTCCCAAAGAAAGCCATGTCAATTCACAGATACTAAAAAGGAATCTTTGGAGAAAGCAATCTTTCCCAAGAAAACTTTATAACCATTCGGCAACCTTTCATGTCAATTGATACTAAAAAGGAATCTTTTAACCCAAGAAAGCCATGTCAATTCACAGATACTAAAAAAGGAATCTTTGGAGAAAGCAACTTATAACCATTCGGCAACCTTTCCCAAGAAAGCCATGTCAATTCACAGATACTAAAAAAAGGAATCTTTGGAGAAAGCAACTTAATAACCATTCGGCAACCTTTCCCAAGAAAGCCATGTCAATTCACAGATACTAAAAAGGAATCTTTGAGAAAGCAACTTATAACCATTCGGCAACCTTTCCCAAAGAAAGCCATGTCAATTCACAGATACTAAAAAAAGGAATCTTTGGAGAAAGCAACTTATAACCATTCGGCAACCTTTTCCCAAGAAAGCCATGTCAATTCACAGATACTAAAAGGAATCTTTGGAGAAAGCAACTTAACCATTCGGCAACCTTTCCCAAGAAAGCCATGTCAATTCACAGATACTAAAAAAGGAATCTTTGAGAAAGCAACTTATAACCATTCGGCAACCTTTTCCAAGAAAGCCATGCCAATTCACAGATAATAAAAAAGGAATCTTTGAGAAAGCAACTTATAACCATTCGGCAACCTTTCCCCAAGAAAGCCATATGTCAATTCACAGATACTAAAAAGGAATCTTTGAGAAAGCAACTTATAACCATTCGGCAACCTTTTCCCAAGAAAGCCATGTCAATTCACAGATACTAAAAAAGGAAATTTTGAGAAAGCAACTTATAACCATTCGGCAACCTTTCCCAAGAAAGCCATGTCAATTCACAGATACTAAAAAAGGAATCTTTGGAGAAAGCAACTTATAACCATTCGGCAACCTTTCCCAAAAGAAAGCCATGCCAATTCACAGATACTAAAAAAGGAATCTTTGGAGAAAGCAACTTATAACCATTCGGCAACCTTTCCCCAAGAAAGCCATGCCAATTCACAGATAATAAAAAGGAATCTTTGGAGAAAGCAACTTATAACCATTCGGCAACCTTTCCCAAGAAAGCCATGCCAATTCACAGATACTAAAAAAGGAATCTTTGAGAAAGCAACTTATAACCATTCCAAGAAGCCATTTTCCCAAAGGAAAAGCCATAACCCAATTCACAGATACACAGATAAAAAGGAATCTTTGGAGAAAGCAACTTATAACCATTCGGCAGCCTTTCCCAAGAAAGCCATGCCAATTCACAGATACTAAAAAGGAATCTTTGGAGAAAGCAACTTATAACCATTCGGCAACCTTTCCAAGAAAGCCATGTCAATTCACAGATACTAAAAGGAATCTTTGGAGAAAGCAACTTATAACCATTCGGCAACCTTTCCCAAGAAAGCCATGCCAATTCACAGATACTAAAAAAGGAATCTTTGGAGAAAGCAACTTATAACCATTCGGCAACCTTTCCCAAGAAAGCCATGCCAATTCACAGATACTAAAAAAGGAATCTTTGGAGAAAGCAACTTATAACCATTCGGCAACCTTTTCCCAAGAAAAAATGCCAATTCACAGATAATAAAAAGGAATCTTTGGAGAAAAACTTATAACCATTCTTTCCCAAGAAAGCCATGCCAAACAGATAATAAAAAGGAATCTTTGAGAAAAGCACTTATAACCATTCGGCAACCTTTCCCAAGAAAGCCATGCCAATTCACAGATACTAAAAAAGGAATCTTTGAGAAAGCAACTTATAACCATTCGGCAACCTTTCCCAAAGAAAGCCATGCCAATTCACAGATACTAAAAAGGAATCTTTGAGAAAGCAACTTATAACCATCGGCAACCTTTCCCAAGAAAGCCATGCCAATTCACAGATAATAAAAAAGGAATCTTTGGAGAAAGCAACTTATAACCATTCGGCAACCTTTCCCAAGATTGACATAACAATTCACAGATAATAAAGAAATCGAATCTGTGGTGAGGGCAACGAAGACCAATAAACTCTCTTTCCAATGAAAATCATGGAAATTCACAGATAATCAAAAAAAGGAATATACGAAATGGACAACGGGAAACCACTCCATGACTTTTCCATGAAACTATAAATATAAGAAATCTGCGACGAGATATGTTTACTTATCTGCCGGTGGGACATACCATTAACAAAACCTGTCGAAATTTAATATTTAGTTCTAGTAATCCCCTGAATTCTCATTTGATTCTTGGGTATTTTACTCATTTTTCTTCAATTAGTGGATATTATTCTCCTGTCATTTATCTGGTTACAATCTGATTCCTTTTATCAGGAATAATCTAATTTTTCGCATTTTAATCTCATAGCTTTTCTTTTTCTTCCACTGATTCTCGATATCTTCATGGTAACCCTGAGGTCATCGCTTATTTAACTGAGACAAATCCGAAACGTTCTCAGCTTTCTCACGGTCAACTGGATGCGGAGGTCAGCACCCAGAGCTATTTAAGCCTTGCAGCATTTTGATTTGGACTCAAGATCAAAGAGTAGTTTGAAAGTTTATTCTAAGCCTAAGATAATACGAAAATAAATGCTGGCTAGCTTTGATCGTCTGGCGCTTGTTATGAAAATTGCAGTGAAGTTTAACTCGGGCAGCGCGCGCTGAGATAGGAGGCAATTACAGTCTCTGATTTCATTAAAGAAATTAAATGCCAAAAATTAAAATTATAAATACAAAAAAAAAACAAACAAAAACAACCAAAAACCCCCCTGTTAAATATGGTTATTTCTTTTTCATAATCTTAATTGCTTTATAAACAAATCTTCTTTCTGGTTTTCTTTTCAACAGAAAATATTAAAAGGTGTGTCTAAAAATAAAAGGAGCAAATAATTGGAAATGATATTTAAACTGAACTGAAAATGGATTAGAATATAGAAATAAATTGGAAATTTTTTTAATATAACAATACAATTGGAAATGATTTTATTATATGAAGTTCTTTATAAATCATTTTACAATATGAATGAATTGTAAATAACTTTATTATAAGAATTCCTTTGTAGATTATTTTATTATGGGAATGCATTGGAAATGACTTTACTATAATAATTCCTTTATAAATTATTTTATTATAAGAATACATTGGAAATGATTTTACTATAAGAATTCCTTTCTAAATTATTTTACTATAAGAATACATTGGAAATGACTTTACTATAAGAATTCCTTTCGAAATTTTTTTATTATAAGAATACATTGGAAATGATTTTACTATAAGAATTCCTTCATAAATTATTTTAATATAACAATGCATTAGAAATGACTTTACTATAAGAATTCCTTTATGAATTATTTCATGAGAATGCATTGTAAATGTCTTTACTAAAGGAATATATTTCGAAATGATTTTCCCAAAGCAAGTAAATTGAAATCATTTCACTGCAGGAATGCATTGGAAATAATTTCATTAATCATCGATTGTAAGAAAGCAGAATATATCGTTGTTTACAAGATGCTCTACCAAGGATTTGAGATAGGAATTGGGGCTTACAAAATCAAGCAAGTGAAAAAATTTAACTATTTAGGAAGTGTTTTGACGGACGACTTGTGCGAATGCAAAAAACATTTAGCATCAATCACAGTGCCTTGTCAATCGTCTTCAATGAAACTTGTATAAAATACGGAGTGGTTCTCATATATATATATATATATATATATATATATATATATATATATATATATATATTTTTATTTTTATTTTTACAAAAGACTGCTCAATGTAAATTTACAGAGCATAAATTTTATAAATTAACTGATTTAAAATATGTTTTTTCGCTACACAATGATAGCCATGTTTCAAAAACTGAAGCTAAAAACTTCAAATTTAATTTATATAATTAATTAAATGCATTAGTTCCGTTTCATCTTCAACCGAATATTGGAATAACTTATTTTTAAATTTACTGAGTTTTAAACGCACGTATAAATTCATAATTTACTGTTTCCAAGGATACAGTGAAATCCAATTATTCAGAGAGGAGCGGTAGAGTGTTCATTTTTATTAACTATTGTTGTATGAATTATGAGTTACGTTCGAAAAAGAGGTTAAGTCTAGGGAGCGTAGGGGTGTATTTTTCAACGAATTCTGACATTCGTTAAATGCATGTCGTCTGTTTTTTTTTATTAACGGAAAAAGGTTTTCGGTATATTTTCGTACTTGTATACTTAAAGATTCTTTTTATATATATATATATATATATATATATATATATATATATATATATATATATATACCACCATTCGTTATCATTAATATTAATTAAATTTTCACGCTTATATTTTTTTTCTTATATCCCAGAAATAAACTTGATAAGGCTGGGACGAAACTGGTTGTTCTTTTTAGCTTTTTACAATGCCTTATCAATTTTGCTTATTCCTATATATATATATATATATATATGTGTGTGTGTGTGTGTGTGTGTGTGAGTGTGTGTGTGTAAATATGTAGAAAAAGAGGGAAGTACATGTTTGTTAAATAATCCGGGTTTCTTTAGTATTTTTATCTAAAAAAAAGAAAAGAAAAAGAAAACAGTGCTCCATACAGAAGTAGAGCTTAAATTATGATTATTTCTTAAAAAATATATATTATAATTATTTTTTTAAAAATATATATTATTTTTAAAAAAGAGAATTAATTGAAAAAAATATATATATATTATTATTATTATTTTTTTAAAAAAGGGAAGGAATCATATTTTTTAAAAAAGCGAAGGAATCATATTTTTAATAATAATAATATATATATATATATATATATATATATATATATATATATATATATATATGTGTGTGTGTGTGTGTGTGTGAAAAGTGTATATAAATATAAATAAATATAAGTATGTATAATTATTTATATATTATATGCACGGTACTTATTAAAAAGCGCTCAATATCAGAGATAGAGCTAACATCTATATATATATATATATATATATATATATAGTTGGAGAAACAAATATTCGGACACAGAAAATTTTTAATTATTGTATTTCCAACAAATAAACATACTTTTCATATAATTAATATATACAAATGCATAATAACTAAATATACACAGAAGACAGAAAATCTTTTGATTTAATAGAAATAAATCCCATTTATCCATTTTAATGAGGGAAAAAAATATTCGTACAATATAAAAAATGCACAATATTCATTTAATACTTTGCAGAATAGCCATTATTCACCACGAGTAGCCACCAGGCCTTGTACAGGGTGAACCTAGCTGTAATATATATATATATATATAAAGAGATATAGTCTAAAGGTGTGCTATATTTATGGGATAAAGTGCTCAATATCAGAGATAGAGCGTGTGTAAATATAAAAGTGAACATAGAAGTCAACACTTAGAGGCGACAGTCTGTTTCATGCTATATGCAATCGTCAGGCCACATATGCTGTTATTTTTCTCGGCTGTTTATATATATACGGGTTAGTGGTGCATTGTGGGTATTCTATTATGGCGGTTATTTTTTACCGGAAGTCGCTTTGTTTATTTATTTGGGTCAAATTGTATTGCTCGTTTTTATTTTTTTGTTTCTTATTTTATTTATTTATTTATTAACGTAGTAAAAATTTGTTTATATCACGTATTTAACAGTTTTGTTTTGGTTTGAGAATTTGATTAAAGCTATTTGTTCAATTTTGGGGTTGGTTGTTGTAGTTCATTCTAACTATTATTTTTTTGGCGGGAACAGTTTTTAATTTGGGATTAGTTAGAATGAACTACAATGATACAAACAAACGTGATATAAACAAATTTTTACTACGTTAATAAATAAATAAATAAAATAAGAAACAAAAATAAAACGAGCAAATAATTTGACCTAAATAAATAAACAAAGCGACTTCCGGCAAAAAATAACCGCTATAATAGAATACCCACAATGCACCACTAACCCGTATATATATAAACAGAGAAAAAATAACAATATATGTGGCCTTGACGATTGCATATATTTATATATATATATATATATATATATATATATATATATATATATTATGAAATGGACAAAAGTCCGACAATTTATTTATTAAAGACATTTTTATGTTTAACGTTCTTTTTATAGATACAAGTATTTAAGTAAATGCTCTGTTTATAATAAACAGTATTAAATAACATTTACCGGCCTGACGTGCCTTACCGATCGGCCACAAAGAAGCGTTCGGTAGACAAGGTCGAATTTACTGCTTATAAACTTCAATCTTCCTTGTCTACCTTGTCAGCGTAAATGACGGTTCCGTATAGGATGCAGGTTTGAATCCTGTCAAAGAACGAATATTTTCTATGAAAATTTCTCGGACATTCAGGCCGGTAAATGTTATTTAATACTGTTTATTATAAACAGAGCATTTACTTAAATACTTGTATCTATAAAAAGAACGTTTAACATAAGAATGTCTTTAATAAATATATATATATATATATATATATATATATATAATAGAAAGAGGTTGTAGTGGTTCCAACGAGAGAAAAGTATGTATATTAAAAAGAAGAGAAGAGAGGTGCCGCAAACGTTTTTGGTTGTAATGTGTATTTTTTTTTTAAATATTATGGTTTATTTTCCATAATTTTACTACACGTGTTTCTGGTCCCGTGACCGTCTTCAGGTAAAAGGTGGAGATTTCCACATATTATTAAAAATAATTAATTTTTTCCTTTATGTTTTTTAATGTTAAATATTCTCGATATGAGACATTCTCTGTATTTGTGTTAGTAATCCGAACGTCTTTCTTGGATTTAAAAAAAAAATCCACATTACAAACAAAAACGTTTGGGGCACCTCTCTTCTCTTCTTTTTAATATACATATATATATATGTGTGTGTGTGTGTGTGTGTGTGTGTGTGCCTGTGTGTGCGTGTGCGTGTGTGTACCGTATATTTCCGCGTATAAGATGATCTTTACGCCCCCCACCAATTACCCTTAAAAATTGGGGGCAGTTTTATACTACAATTCTAAGAAAGAAACCTTAAATTCTGTGTGATGTTTGTCGGTAGGTTAACCTCAGCCTCTATGCGATAACCAATAACGTACACGAAAAGATTCACATTATCAAATAAACTGATAATAAAAGTAATAAAACCATTTCTACCTTACTGGCATAATAAATTGCCTATTCGAAGAATAATTCCATATCAATGAAATCAACTTGTATCCATGCAAGCTAAGCTGAGCAGCCAATCTTTATCTTTCGCTAAACTTTCAATAATCATCATGGTCATGTTAATTACGGCAGTAATAACATTTACGATAAAGTAATATTCATTTTTCTCATTAAAAATTCATTACCATTTTGGTGTTGAATAATAACAATTTATGATTAAATACAACTTTTATTTTTCTGTTTCTATAACAGCAACACAGATGTTCGATTCCCTGACTTTTCAATTTAAACCTCGCTTCATACGTCGTTTTACTATCAGCCCAAAATTGATAAGTTAATAAGAAATTTCACCTGGTTTAGATAGAAGTTAGGAACAGACTGATAAAAAAAAAATAATAGTACACCAGGCTGTTTGCAACTGTTTCGGTATAAGAAAAGAAGAGGAAAAAGAACCAGTATTCGCAAGAGATCACGTGATGGAACGCCAACAAATCAATGGTTTTCCTTTTAGGGTACGTATATAAAAAAATAGGATATAGAATTGGTTCTGTTATTTCGTTTTATTTGAATTTCTAAGTATACAGGAAGTAATAACATTTCCAATAACATCACCTTTATATAATCAACAGTCGACATATTCATGATAATTTGCGATATTTTGTAAGTCGTCTAAAACACGGAAATATATGGTATGTATATATATATATATATATATTGATTATATTAGTGGTCAATATATATATATATATATATATATATATATATATATATATATAATATATAATATTAGTCGTTAATATATATATATATATATATAATATAAAAAATATATATATATATATATAAATCTTTTTTTAATTTGTAGGTCTGATGAATTGAATCGTGATTACGATTACAATGTAATAAATTATAACAATGGAATATTAGTGTTTTTGAGCCTTTTTTATTATATATATATATTATATTATATATATAATATATATATATATATATATATATATATATATATATATATATATATATATATATATATGTTCAGTTGTATGGATATGAGTTCATGAGCCTAGTTTTCACGGTTTGGCTCCCATCAGACAAATTTGTCTGATGATCGCAAAAGCATGAAATAAATATTAATATTCATACAACTCAATATGTTAGCTTTATCACAGATATGGAGTGCTTTCCACAAAGTGACGTGCACATAATATATATGTATATACATATGTGTGTGTGTTTTAAGACATATTTTTATGTTTATACGTTCTTTTTATAGATACAAATATTTAAGTAAATGCCCTGTTTATAATAAACAGTTTTAACAACATTTACCGGCCTGAATGTCCAAGAAATTTTCATAGAAAATACGCGTCCTCCGACAGGAATCGAACCTGTATCCTACACGGAACCGTTATAGAGCCTGACGTGCTTTTACCGACTGAGCCACAGGGGAGCGTTTCGGTTAGTAAGGTCGATTTTATTGTTTTTAAACCATAATTCTACATGATTTTCTCTCATACATTCATATCTGCTCGATGCGTATCCAAATGTAAACAAATGACGTCACACATTATGAAATGGACAAAGTCCGACAATTATGTTATTGTATGTATGTTTGTGTGTGTGCATGTATGAATATAATTAAAATATTGTTTTAAGTATACTATATTTTGGGGTGAAAGTGCTCAATATAAAAGACAGAGCGTATGTAAATATAAAAGTGGCCACTGACATCAACACCAAGTGGCAACAGTCAGGTAATGCAATCTTCAGGCCATGTGTGCTGTGTGTTGGCTCTACTATTTATATATGCTGATCAATTGCGTATTATGGACTTCAATGCCTATTGTATTATCTGAAATGCTATTGAATAGAAATAAGTGTGGATCCGAATGCAGTTATTTCTAGTTATGATTTTTTTTATTATTTATTTATTATTGGATATTTAATTATTTTTTGTTGATTATTATTATTATTATTACATTTACTTCAGCTTATGTCTTTCTTCGTTATTGTTTTGATTATTACTTACTTAATTTGTTTATTTATCTTTATTGTTATATCTATGTGGGAGTATATGTGTGTGTGTGTGTCTGTGTGTGTGTCTGTGCTATCTAGCTCGGTCTATTCATATATCTATCTATCTATCTATCTATCTATCTATCTATCTATCTATCTATCTCGGTCTGTTCATATCTATCTATCTATCTCAGTTCGTTCATATCTATGTATCTCAGTCTGTTCATTATCTATCTATCTATCTATCTATCTATCTATCTATCTGGTGTGTTCATATCTATCTATCTATCTATCTATCTATCTATCTATCTATCTATCTGGTGTGTTCATATCTATCTATCTATCTATCTATCTATCTCAGTCTGTTCATATCTATGTATCTCAGTCTGTTCATTATCTATCTATATATGTATGTATGTATCTATCTATCTATCTATCTATCTATCTATCTATCTATCTATCTATCTATCTATCTGGTGTGTTCATATCTATCTATCTATCTATCTATCTGGTGTGTTCATATCTATCTATCTATCTATCTCAGTCTGTTCATATCTCTCTATCTATCTCAGTTCGTTCATATCTATGTATGTCAGTCTGTTCATTATCTATCTATATATGTATGTATATATGTATGTATCTATCTATCTATCTAGCTATCTATCTGGTGTGTTCATATCTATCTATCTATCTATCTATCTATCTATCTATCTATCTATCTATCTATCTATCTCAGTCTATTCATATCTATCTCATATCTATCTCAGTTTGTCCATATGTATCTATCCCAGTCTGTTCTTATCTCTCTTTCTATCAATATATATATATATATATATATATATATATATATATATATATAATCTTTCCCCATCCGTCTATATAACTGAATAAATTTGCGCGTACGCCCAACTCATTTCCTAAAGTGAAAAGGTATGATTCCGTTTCGCCAAATTCCCCAAGGCTAACGGATTGTAGCGACCTGCAGCGATTGGCTTCCCTCCAAAGAATTCCAACCACGGGTTCTTTTGTACCTTTCTCACGCACCTGGCAAAATGTGCCGCTTTCACTGTAGCTTGCATTTTGAATTATTCCAGCCACATCTACAGGCATCAATGTTTCGAAATGTACAATTTTATTCATTGCCAGATTATTACGGTCTTTCGGAATTTGCTTGATACAGTAGTATGATAATGGTAATATAGCCGTTTCCTTATAAGGAAGCATTCGTCATTCGTTGCTACTCAAGATTTTCTTCACTTCCTGGTCATCGGACTGGGATCAAAGTGTAGTATCTGTTCTCGTCCTTGCTAATGTTATTGCTAATATTAGCCGTTTACTTATAGGTAAATATTCGGCATTTGTTGACCGAGCGGACAGTGCTACACTAGTTACACTTTTCTTCACTTCCTGGACATCGGGCTGGGATCAAAGTGTAGTATCAGTTCCCCTCCTCGCTAATGGTAAGGATAATATTAACCTTCGGCATTCAAAGACCGAGCAGCCAGTGCTATTTGAATTACCCTTTTCTTCACTCTCTCGACATCGAACTCGGCACAAAGTCTATACAAAGGTATCTGTTGTCATCCTTGCTAATGGTAACATTAACCGTTTTCTTATATGGTAGCTTTACTCATTCATAAGACGAGTAGCCAATCGTTTGAAATTCCTAAAATATTTTTCTGCTAATACAGAGTGAACCTAAAAAACGGGAATTTTTGAAGTATGTATTGCCAGACATGAGCAAGTGGCAACACTACGAGACAGTGACCTTGAGCAAGTAAACAATTCGCCATTTACAATTCTAGATGAAATTCACAGTATCCCAGCTGAGATCAATGAGGAATCTCAACAGCAGATTTCAAGAATGCATTCGTACAGGAGGACGCCATCTACAGGACGTAATTTTTAAAAAATGAAAATTCCATCATTGTTTCTTAAATGACATGTTTTAAGGTTTCAATTACTATGAATAAAATATTTTTCTTCCATCACTCTTGATTTTATTGGATTGTTAAAATGTTCCCGTTTTTTTGGGTCACCCTGTATTTTTATCTATCTATCTATCTATCTATCTATCTATCTATCTATCTATCTCAGTTTAGTTAAACTGTATTTTAAAAAATATTTTTCTCATGTCCAGTAATTGTTATCGGTCTTTCTAGTATTGATGGATTTTCCTTCGTAACCTTTTCTTTGAAACAGTTTGTAACACGATTATCTTGATTACGTTATTATTATTTTTTTGATTTATATATGCTATCCATTTTAGTTGTTGCCGATGTCGTAAGTCTTCAAGTTATGTCTTTCTGTTATCTGGTAGAATTATTTGTTTGTGATTCTGTAGTGCTAGTCAACTAGGTTCGATGTCCTGTGTATGATGATAAACTACAGCCGCGTCCAAGGTAAGACGATAAACTACATCCGCGTCCAAGGTAAGACGATAAACTACATCCGCGTCCAAGGTAAGACGATAAACTACATCCAACAGCAAAGCCTCTGATCAGGAGGTTTTGAGGAGCTTGGAATCACCTCTTAATTGCTGGCGTTCCCAGGTCCACCCTGACCCGGGGTGGTAGCACCTGTTAAGGTCCCAACTATGGGCAAATAGTTGACACCTAAACTTGTGCAAAAATAGGTTTTAATACCAAAAAAAAAAAAAAGTCACCTGCATTAATTTTTTAAGGAAAAATAATTATCAGGAATAATTTTTAAAAAAAAGTACCAGCAATACAAACAGCTATACATTCTTTGAAAAAATATGACCAGTTATAGATTTCTTCAAGGAAAAATATTGACAGAAATAGATTTTTGAAGAAAAACATATTACCAGCAATAAAAAATTTTATCGGCATTAAATAATCCATTGAGGTTGATATGCCGTAAAACAAGACAAACCAATATATACTGAGATAGATAAAAAGGTTCGAACAAGGATGGTCCTCGCTAAGATGGCCATTCTTTATTCGTTCGAAGCCATTTCTTAACCATTAATCTGAGGAAGTGTTTCTATACAACTGATACGGTGTAGATGCACAACGTGATGCATCATAAAAGTCTAACGTGTCCGTTTAAGTATAGTTTTTAGATTAATCTTTTGGTTTTGTAGCAATTTGCGGTATTGTGTGAAACTACCCTGAGTGCAACCTCTGTTTATTTTCATTAGCCCCTAAGTTTTTATAACTGATCCAGACATCAAGATATTTGAAGTGTTTAGTATTTATTGAATCTACATCCTGAATTTCCAGGATGTGTGTTTATTGTGATTCCATATTTTGTTCACGATTATCCTGAAACCCAATTACGACTACCTATGCCATCAGCATAACTCTACTCATCATCAATGCAGTTGACCTCCTGAACGGAACGATACGTAATGGCACGTATGGGGCCCACTAACATTTTTAAAGATCTGAAATATGTTAGGTGAACAACAGAACGAGGATTAATACAAAATTTATTTAAAATGCAGATCCGAGTGGATGCGGGTCAGATAGTCAGAGAATTGAAGAGTGATCGGATTGAATTCTTATTTGATGAGAAGTATTCATCTTATATAAATTTGGACTAACAACAAGCGCAGGTTTCGAAAGTACAAATAATCAAAAGGAAAAATAAGCTGAGATATACTACGGAAAATGAAGGTGTAAAAATAGTCAGGAAGTGTATTACGACAAGATTTGTATCACAAACGAAACTAACAATTCATTAGATCACTTCTGAAACTAAATTAGATTAAATTACATAGTCTGTAGAGAAGACGAAAAGTTCAAGGTCGAAGAGTCCTATCCGTTCCTGTTTGAGAGCGGCCAAAATTATATAAAAAAGGCCTAAAACCTTTGTACGGTACTATATATATATATATATATATATATATATATATAAGACAATATATTTATTATATATATATATATATATATATATATATATATATATATATATACATATATATATGTAAGACAAAATATATATATATATATATCTTACTTATTATAAAACGCAGGTTGTATGTGTGTGTGTCTGTAACGTTTATATGTTGGATCGAATTTCCTACATTTTTTAGCCGATTTCAATAAAACTTCACAGGACTACATAAAATTACCTTTTTGGTGGTTCTAACGGCGCCGAAAATGGGGAAAAACACAGTTGTTTTTTAAGAAAATCAATTTGAAAACACGATTAAGACACATCGTGAGAATGAAAGGGGACAACTCACCCACGAAAATAAAAACAAAAGAGCATAGCATGATGAAAAAGACGCCGAACTTGAAAACAAAATTTTATCGTCTAATGTTCATATTATTATTAAAGAGGAAAGATCAAAGTATTTTTGGAGTATTTTTTTTACATTTTAATCGTTCCTAGCACGTCTGAAATTTTCGTTAAAAATTATTTTTTTTTGGTCAAAAAAAAGGACAGATAATCAATCATTTTAATCATTTTTTTCGATTTGATAAAAAGATTAAAATCTTATTTTGATATTCTTTTAAAAATCAATTATCATTTTTCAAAACTGATTTTTAATAAAACAGATATTATACGGTTTATTTAAAATATTTTGAACCAAGGTTAACTTAGCTTCTGCGCCGAAAAAATGTAATTTGAAAATAAAACAAAGCAGGTCATAACCTTTCGCGTTGCTTGACGATTGACGAAAGGCACACTCATGACGTTTAGATAACTTACGGGAGGGTAATTCTTTCTACGGATGGAAGGAAGTGAAATTATTTAAGTGAACAAATTATTTACCTCGTTACTTTTAAGGAAAACTTTCAGCGCTCTATTTTTTTTTTTTTTTTTTTTTGTACTTAGCTTTCATTTTACGTTTACGATGCTTTATGGAAAATATAAAGAAATTAAAAAATAAGACTGTTAATAGTGAGGTTAAATTTCATAAGAAAAAGGTATCTAATTAATTTAGGTACCTTTCTTATGAAATTTTATCAGAAATGTACATAAAATACTATAATTTTATGTACATTTATTACATTTTACTGTGTTATTTGTATTTCCATTCATTTTATTATTAATTTTGATATTTCATTTATGGAAAAATGTCATAACTGAGATGAATATAAAAATAAGATCATATAAATTAAAGTTTAGCAGTAGTTAAATTTCATAAGATGATACTGCTACTTGTAGGTACCCTTCTCAGTTGAAATTGAAAACTCAAATTAACTTTTCCATACGTGTTTCGCAAAAGTAAAGGGCTTAACAGCGGAGAACAATGCTGAACTCAAATAATGCAACTAAATTGTATTCTGGTTGGTCTTCCGTACTTGATAATTACTGTCCGACTATAAACACAAAAATTACATTTCTTAATTACCATGGCTAATCTGATTGGTCCAAATTATACAATTTTCAAAGCGCTAGACAATGACAATCTCACACGGACATTTTGAAAGGCTGATGTTGCATTTAACTAATGTTAAAATATTTTTTAAAATTCAATTTAAACATTTTTAAAACCTTTTTTAAAATTAAAGAAATAAGAAATAATTGTATTAAAATTCAATTTTCATTGAAAAAATTTTTGCTTCCAGAAAATATTGTCCATATTCATAAAAACAAATTAAAACAAATAAAAGCATTTGAAACTAAATAATATATTTGTTTTATTGAGTTTTGTATTTACAATTCACAGCCGATTTTTCAGGTACGTTGGCCAAAAAAAAAAAAAAAAAAAAAAATACATGATTTGCATTCTTCAAAGCCTTGTGCTTTTAACTATTGTAATCACTAAAACCGATGGTCTCGAATTTCTAGAGTTTTCATAAAATTAGTTATGGGGGTGATAATACATATAAAAAAAATTTCTGCCATGACCTTAATAAAAAAAACATATTTATAATAATTTCGATCATCTGTGAATAGTTTCTGAAAGTTTCATTAACATCTGACAATTATTTTTATTTTTGCAAGATTTTCCAAATTAATATGTGTAAATACAAAAAAACGCGCTAAAATTTATCTATGTTATTTACTACCCCTTGTTGCGACAAAGAGAAACAAGGTTTTTAAATCAAAATTTAGAATATTCTAAAAGATGGAAAATTTTAAAAATAATTA